ACATTAAAGACTGAGAGTATATTTACATGGTATTGGGGAAAGACTGAAAATGTTATAATGTTATAAACAGAAGAACTGAATTTTTCCTATATTGAATAGGTAGGCAAAACTAGATGGACAACATGCTCTCAAATCATCAGACCTATTGTCAGACTATGAGACTATGCAAATTACCCATGTTATCATGAAGGCGGTATAAAACAGGATCTGGCTTTACTTGCAACTCACAGCCATTCATAAGGCTACCAGAATAAACATAATCACCTACCATCGTGGATTTGCCAGCAAATAACTTTTGGCTCTAAAGACTTTGTTTTAGTCTTTCCTATTCTAGCTCAAAAAGACGGTTAGCCTTGCAAGGGAAATGCCATACTTAGACTATGTGGGAAAAAAAGGATTTAATTGGGGCCGGCCGTGGCACCTGTAAATCATCAGCACTTTGGGAGGCCATGGTCAGGCGAATCACTTGCAGTCAAAACGTTTGGACCAGCCTGGCAAATGGTGAAACCCCTACTCTACAAACAAACAATTAGGCGGGCATGGAGTGTGGCCTTTAATCCCAGTCCTGGAGGCTGAGGCGCAGAGAATTGCTCAACCCAGGAGGTTGCAGTGGCAGATCCGGCCCTGTACCAGCTGGCACAGAGCAGCCTGTCTTCAAAAAAATTGAAGAAGAAGGAAGAAAAGAAAAATAAAATTAGTGAAATGTCTTAGCCAGAATAAGAATTAGCTTGACCCTCCATTAAGAGACTATTTCAAGAAACTCAATTAAGATAACTTATTGTGAGACCCAGATACCACTGGGAAGTATTCTCAAACAATGGCCTGGCATTTCTGCTAAAGTTCTATAACTTCGCCCTCTTATACCATGCTTCTGTATTTTCCAAACTAGGACTTACAATACTAGCTCTTTTGTCTAAAATGGCATCATATTTTAAAGGTAAAAATTATTTTATATATTCATGAGAAAGCAGCCATAGTTTGAGAAATTCCACTTGCTCAATGTAAAACTAATTAGCGATACGACAAACTGATGAAGAGGCCATCAGTTAACAAAGCCATTTATAGAGCAAGCTTCTAAAACGTAAACTCATACACCAAGTACGATTGGGGGATGTGAAAGAGACAGGAAGACGACACGCAATCCTGGCTTGCAAGGCACTTACAATCTAGCTTTTACTTAAATACAGTCCTAGGAAATACTATAACATGGGTAATTTGGCATAGTCTTCATAGTCTGACAATAGGTCTGATGATTTGAGAGCATGTTGTCCATCTAGTTTTGCCTACCTATCACATATAGGAAAAAAAATTTAGTTTCTTCTGTTTATAACACTTTATAACATTTTCAGTCTTTCCCCAATACCATGTAAATATACTCTAGTCTTTTTAATGTTAAATAGCAATTTCAAAATCCTCCCCTCAGTTTCTTATGTCTCCATATAAAACCTTCTCTCCTTTTTCCTCCTAGGTTACTGCCCCATCTCACTCCTCCCAGTCATAGCCAGATGTCTTGAAAGCATTGTCTAGGTTGCTATTTTCATTTTTTTCCCCCACATCCTAACTCTTCAATCTTACTTTTACTAGAGTCAACAATGGCCTCTCTATTTCCTAGGACTGTATTTAAGTAAAAGCTAGATTGTAAGTGCCTTGCAAGCCAGGGATTGTGTCGTCTTCTGTCTCTTTCACATCCCCAATGGTACTTGGTGTAGAGTTTACGTTTAGAAGTTGCTCTATAAATGCTTGTTAACTGATGCCTCTTCATCAGTTTGTTCGTTCGCTAATATAGTTTTCATTGAGCAAGTGAATTTCAACTATGGCTGCTTTCTCATGAATTATAAAATATTTTTACCTTGAAAAATATGATGCCATTTTAAAAAAGAGCTAGTATGTAAGTC